ATTAGCAACAAGTACTTTGTGGTTCTAACATTGAACAAGCAAAAGTTTACAAAAATTAGTATAAATAATAAATTAATATCTTATAATAAATTTACCGTGCATTAAAAACTCTTTGTGCTGAGTAGTTAATAATATTATCGACGGAAAAGCGTTTTTTCTTCATTTTTTTTTTTGTTCAAACAAGACGGCGGTCGCAAATAGAAATGGGTTATATTTAATGCATCAAATGCATGGGAAATTCAGATCGTATGGATAAATCTTTTTGTGCAAGGTTCGTGGTTTATTTTCGTAATTTATACTTTTACCGCGCTACTCTTGATGCACATCAAGAGCGACTGTTGCAGCATTAAATCGGTCTTGATCGAAGTAAACGGTTTTAAGCATTTGTGTTTTACATTTTACGAATTTTTAAATTTCAGATTCAGTTATAAGATACACAAGCGATGACACTTTATTTCTATCTTCCACATTCTCCATTACGATCTCGGCGGAATGAATATAGCAAGATAATTATATTATATTAAAAATAATGCAACGTAGAGACTTTGTAAAATCCAAGAAAGAGTGCCGATCGCAATCTATATTAGTCGACAGGGTAAAGCAGAAGCGACGTTACTTTTCACGTGGCTCCTCTCGAACGCGCCTTGTAACCGAGTTACACGTCTATTATTCGTTACCTCGCTGTTAATTTGTCATTTCTAACTGAATGGATAGGTATATTTTCTTCTACGAAAGCGTCACCATGATGAACGTGCAGCGAGTAGTCGATCCATCCGGCGCGCAGCGCGTCGCGTCATCTCGGTTCGCTCCATCTCGCACGACGGCCATGCATAGCTTATGCCGCTTAATTAAATATCCCTGCTCGCCCGAACACCGCTGGCGTTTGTCTGACGTTTTTCGATATTTTATATGGCGCATCTGTACGAACGCGGCGTATACGAATCCTCATCAATGTTTGTTATGCGCTGTGAATTTTTTGCGTTAAAACTTTTACATGTGGAAAATAAATGTGAGAATTTTAGATATCAAAGTTTCCACGCATTGGGAATTTGTGTTACTCGATTTTTAAAAGAATCAGATATTTTGACTAGTTTTGAGAGATGCGTGTAAATGTGCAAATATAATTATCTCGTGTATAATTATTAAAAAAAAAAAAAAAAAAAAAAAAAATAGAAATTACTTGCAATTCATAGTTTGCGTGGTTACGAAGATATTTTTATATCAACATTTGGGAAAAAAAGAAAAATAGTAAATATACACAAAAATAATAGGCGGATAAATGATTATCTCCGAATTTCTTCACCGTATTTTAATCTCGATTAAATCGTTTTAAGATAATAGATATTATCTAGGTGAGCGACAAATAATACATATGAATATAGATGGAAGTATTACTTCGCTTTTTTTAAAATAGTTCATTTAAGTAATCGTCGAATCCGCGACGTTAATTTTCGGTAGATAAATTATAGAAATTTAGAGTAGTAGAGTGATCGCGTGAGCGCGATTATTTTAGAAAAGCTTGAGTACCTTCGAGTCTACTTCTGTAATCAATCCGCCGACTCCGTTCCTACCACACGCAATACCGTTACGTATTCAAACTCATATCCCGAGTGCGAATGATCATCGTTGACCGCGGACCGTTTTAGGCTTATTAATTACTTATCCGTCTTCCGTTTCTCGTGTCTTCTCGCGCTCGCTCGGCGCGAAATCGATAGGCCAGGACATATCGAGCACTCTCGCTTGCGTCGTCTCTCTCTTTCTCGACGGGTTAGGTTGTCCAATCTCTGTAGGGGTACAGCTACATTGCAACTCATGCATAATACATTACGATCCGACCTGGAGTAGATTTATATTTACTCCCGTACCGGCGGATAATTCGTTAAATATCGACAGGCACCGCACGGTTCCCGCGCGAGCTTTTTACGTCGACGAATATCCAACACGAATATTCCCCGCTTTGTAGATCCCTTCGTCTTATTGTACGATCCAGGGTAGTGCAACAGTTGTGCACGAATCGTCATAGCCTAAACCGGACTTCCCGAGCGAATGTCAGTCTACGATTGGACTCGAATCATTCTCGCGGCACAACCGCGCGCGTCATGAATTCTGAAAATCTTACAAATAATTCTTTTTATACGATACTGGTATCGTTGCCAAATGTGGAATAACTTTTATACACGAGCGGTTTAATTCGCGTTCGACAAAACAATGTTATGTTATTGATATTCTGGATTTCCACGAGAAGGTCGGATTTATAGTTACGGAGAAATTGGCAGTGTAACATTTTACTGTTCTAATATTTTACTATGTCTGTATTCTATTATTTTCGTATTTTACTGGGTTTCACCCATCCTGGTTTTATTTTGTGAAAAAAAAAAAGAGGTATGACTTGTGCACCTCCAGCGAGTGTAATTTCGAAATTTTTAGTGACGCGTCGTAAAATTTGGCTGCGGAAATGCGGAAATGCACATACGGATATTTTCAGAATTTGATGTATTTGTCAGGACGGAATTTCAAACGTCGTGCTATCTAATGCCGTCTACTCTGGACAGATGAACCGCGAATGTCGGCAATTCCGAGTGACGTGTTACCGCGACACTCGATATCGCCTTAGCAAATCGACGTCAATTTCGGATGCATCCGGTGAAAATCGGGACATCGATTTTGAACATCGATCGCGTGCTTTCGAAAATTCTGATGAAGACTCCACAAATGATTCTGAATGAGATCACCCTTTTTTCCTCTCTCTTCTCTCATCGAATGATCATTTTCATGCAGATATTTCAAATCTGTTTTTTTTTTGCTCTAGACTACACTAGAACTCTCTTCTTGCTTTTTGACAAATATATACCTATCTCGCTTCAAGTTCCAAAGTGTATACCAATTTAGCCATAGAAAACAAACCTTTTATCTATTCTTTTAAGATTTTTCATGAGCTGTGACACTGTAAAAAAAACACAATGACGTTTGTTCGTCTTTTTGACTCTACTATTTAGACTTTACTATTATATTTAATCTCTGTAATCTACAGACTGTTTATTGCAATTACGATATTTTCTACTATAGGAAAATATTTCGAAGAAATTGATTTTGTCGAACTTCTTCGATATCAGATTCTTGTCAATTTAACCAATTCGCGAATTATAACTTCGTTTAATATTTTGACTATTAAGTTAATTTCAGCATTGAGCTTAATAAATCTAGTGATATTACTTTAATACTTTATTATTTTTTAATGCCTTAATATAATTTACATTGTTTTTTAAATCTTAAGATATTGATTGGATAAACAAAATCATTATTGACAAATGAGCGACGGGATCTGCGCGAATTTTACATGTCGCTCAAATAGATGACATGGCAGTTAAAAAAAGTGTTAAGTAAACAATTTACTTTTCGTTTATCCACTTTCCTGGATCTTGCACACTATAATATGCATGTATGAACATAAGGTGTTGTTTGAATACGAATCGAATTGTTCAGCGGAAAACATTCCGATTATGATGGACAATCCTCGTTGAATCTCTCTCTCGTCTCAATTCGGTCGAATGCTGTTTGTGTCGCGAAACAAAGAAAGACGAGGGAGGGGAGGTACGCACCTCTCTCGTGCAATGTTACGCGGAAATCGAGCGGAAGCGCGGATAACACCTTAAATAGAATCGTGCACTTGCGATACTTGCATACCGCGATGCATGACTCGGGCAGTCGCCGTGCGTTCACGTACGACCGGTCTATAACACAATTGTTATTTTCGTCGACTCCAAGGCGCGCATACATACTTTGTAATGCGCCAGCTCCGTATAAAACGCAGGTCGATTCTTGAACCGTACCGCCGCGCCGCCGCGTTATTTCTGGCGGGCGAAATATTAATAAAGTGTAAGGATGCGCTACGTTTGCGTAAACACGCGGCCTTTCGCCGGTCGAATCGCGCGCATCGCCAGAGCGCCGTTAAACGGCATACCCCGTGTTTTTCTATTCATTTCTCTTTCTCTCTTGCGTGCACTTCCTATCTTAACCGCCGTACGACTACGTAACGACTCGTAATCTCGCTGCTAACTTTCTGTTTCATAATCACCTCTTTTTCGTGATGCGCCAAGTATTTTTTTTTTCTTTTTTTTTCCCCCCCCCCCCCCCCCCCAAGGTGTGTGTCGCGGTACACAGGTTCTCTCACACTTTGCCTCACGCCCGAAGGAAAATACTACGTCGTGAAAGAAATTAATTATGTGCGTTTGATATGTGCATCGCAAAATTGCAAATTATATGCCAAACGATTACCATTAGGCATCGCGGATTGCTTGCCGCATATCGATTTGATTTCTTGATGGTAACCCTCGCACGAGCGAAGATTTGAGAAATCGTTAGTGTGTGACTTTCCCAAATCGCTATGAACTGCATTTATGCCTTTTATCATCTCCAAGCTTTATTTGAAACTCTCGATTCCACTATTATTAATTCTAATCGGTATTCCGCTACGTTTCCTTGATTAATATTCGCACGTTTAGAGAAAGATGTTTGTAACTTAAAATTATGTAAAGCTATGAAAAACATTTGTTGTATATTTTTTATAACGTTATTGAAGTAAATGTATTGAAGAAAATTCGGGTCCATTAAATCGCGAATATCGATTAGGGTTAAATAGAAAGTTAGTTAAAGCTATGGAGTACATAAATTTGATGGTATCTATCTAATTATGCAGTTTTTAGTTTATTGCATTTTACATCTGCAAATCTTTGCATCAATAAAAATCTAAAGACAGACTTTTTGTATCACATTTGTGTTGTCTGTTGTAATAAAAAATTTTTTCACAATTTATAAAGAAGTTTGTCTGTTTACGTATAATATAAATTAATTTTAATCTCGGTTCAATTTACTCTTTAATTTTTTTTCTAATTCTTAAAACTAGAAAAAGATGAAAATTAAGTCGAACCGAGATTAAAATTAATCTACATTGATAGAAACAATCATTAAACAGAATAGGCAGTCAACATTGAAGGTACATGTCGATACGCATTTCTTTCTTCATAACTTGAATACTTTTTCTACTTAATGCATATTGCATCAGTATTGAGTAAGCTCAATCACATCGTCGAGACAGGACAATCGACGAATCGGTGAAGCCAAGATTATCGTCATAATCGATAAAGAAAAGGTGATAGAGAGACGAAAAACAAAAGCGCGCGGTTTTTTGGTTTGCGCCGCTGTGATCGGAGCAAGTCTCGCGCGCGGTGCTCCACTCTTGTTGACGCGAGCGAAACGGTCACGTCGCGCACGCGTCTTGTTGCACCAGCCAGTCGCAAGAACATGCGACGGCGCGGCGTGCGAGTGCGAGTGCGAGGAGGACGCGGGACGAGCCAGCGACGAGCTGGCAATAAGCGGCGCGAGATGGCGCACGCGAGCACTGGACGGCGCGATTGGCTGGCTGCCGGCTGACGTCCGCGGCGTTATCGACCAATAGGGGGTCGCGCTGCCGCGACGTATCTCGGCTCGCCGTAGCAAACTTCAGAGGCGAGGTGGACCGACTGGTACACGATTACCAGCCGCGACGACTCGTTTCCCCCTCTTACTTGCTCGTGCCTTCTCTCTCGCTTCCTCCGCTCGCTCCATCTTTACCTCTCTCTCTCTCGCGTGCGCGCGCGCGCTCCTCCATCCGTCTCGCTCGCACGCATATATGCACACTCTCTCTCGCTTGGTTCTCAGCGCGACTTCCTCAAATCTTTATTTCAGGCTCGACCGCGAACTCGGGGCGAACTGGTCGAAGCGCGCGCGACCGCCCCGGTTTTTTAACCGTCCTCACGGCAAGCTCACTACAAGCGGCTACCGCCGTCGCCGTCGTCATCGTGCTAGTCGTGCGATACGTCGTACATACGCGCGACTGTGTGCGCCAGGGCAGCACCCGTCGCCGTCGGAGTCGCGGAGAGACGACGCGTGTCTAAATTTGAATACGCTCTGGTAGCGTAGAGGAGAAGCAGTGCCGTCCGCGCGTGTTACGCCGCCGGAGCGCCGTCTTCGCCATCACCGTCGTGCTTGTCACGCGTGTAAAGTATATTTTAAGAAAGACGCTCGTTTCGCCGTGCATCTCTAGTCAACGCATCTAGTCCCCGCGATCACGTCGCGGGTAAAAGCTAACCTATCTCTCAACCTCGCGCGCGACACACGAACGGAGTGAGCGCGCGTACCGACGTACCGACGCACACACGACCTAAGAATAATTCACCACGTTATCAATCGAGATAAGTCCCTATAAATATTATCGTGCGAGTGATTCACGGCGAAGGTGAAGGAAGCGGAGAGAGAGAGAGAACGAACGAAGAGGAAGAAGAAGCAAGAGCGATTTGGACTTTGATAAAATTGACAAACGTTTGCGGTTGATTTTTCTCTTTCGATACGCACCACGACGCAAATCATCGACTAGCGACGGTGAACAAGATCGAATCGTCGCCGACGGACCGCGAGCAGCGAGAAAGCAGAAGCGTCGCACGCGACACACACACACACAACGCGCGCGCTCGCGCGCGCGCGCAATTTGTGCTTGCGAGAGAGGAAGAGAGTAGTCCGATTGGAGAGTGTGCCAAAGAGAGGAAAAAAAGAATCGCCACGAGAAAGAAAGAAAGAGAGACGCAACAACGACGAGAGAAAGAAAAGAGATAGTGAGTGTGCCTGCCTGTCGGTTCTCGTTGATTCCTCCGTTCGTTCGTCGGTTCGGTTCGGCGTGGTATTGGTCAGCGACGACGCGAATTAGTGTGCGAGAATCAGCATCCGGCAAGGAGAACGAGAAGGAGGAGTAGTAACGACAACAGCAACAGCAACAGCAGCAGCAGCAACAGCAGCAGCAGCAGCGGCAGCAGCAGCGGCAAGTTTTGTTTTGATCGGCGAACGATCGCGCCGTCTCACGATCTTCGCCTCTCTTTCCCGTCTCTTCGTCGTAGGCGCCCGCGGGGGTGCTTTATCGCGGTGTGGAGGAGGAGATATCGATTGCGCGCACGGGACCATTGACGTCGTTCTGGAGAACGGCCGAACGTCGTGAGCGAGAAAGAGAAAGAGAGAGAGAAAAAAAACAAAGAAGGACACGGCGAGACGAGACGCGACGCAACGCGACGACGACGACGACGACGACGATACCTTTCGTTGTCGGCGACTTCCGCACGTTCTCCGTACGCTAACTAGTTGGCGGTGTACGTTCACGTTGTCGTCGTCGTCATCGTCATCGTCGTCGTCGTCGTCGTCGTCATCATCCTCGACGACACGCGGCGCGTCCTCGAGCGAGATCGCGATCGCGATCGCGGTTCGACGCGCCGCGTCGCGGCGCCGAGATCCCGAGGATCGCCCGCTCGCTCGCTTGCTTGCTTGCTCTCGGCCTCGCTCTCGTTGACGCTCTCGCGGGGCAGATCGATCGATACGCCGCGGCTCAGCAGGGACTCGGCCGACCGACCTGACTCCCGCCGTCGACATGCCCCGCTGATGATCCAGTAGGCTGCGAGATCCGGTGAGTTTACCAAACGCAGTAGCAACGACGAGGAAGAAAACCGGGTGAAAGAGAGTGAGAGAGAAAGAGAGAGAGGAACGTGGGTGGGAGGATAAGGAGAGGAGAAACAAATCTCCACCAAGAGACCTCCCCCTCTACTATCGATGTTATGTTCGTTAGGTATGCGTGTCTTCTTGGACTTCATCCAAGAGAGACGGTCGAGACTTCTCGACCCTGCGAGCTTCGCGGAGAGAAGTCGGACCAGTCGAGATCCGTTTCGCCAAGTTCTGCGATGATAATCTTCATATTTTCTCTCACACGTTATGATCTTTGATCTCTCCGCGCGCGGACGAGATTCAATCTCTGCTTTATCCGAAACGCGACACATTAATTCTGAACAATTGTTCTAACTTCATTATCGCCATGGACAAGCCGAACGTCTTATCGCGAGATTTTAACTGTTATTAAAATAGCAACGTTTAACACCATTTTGCCGTGGTAGAAACGGTAATTTGACGACACTGAATAGTAATTGCGAGTAATGCGGTAACTGGCGATCGTATCTTGTCTTTAATTCGATTACTACTGTATGCTTTAGTATTCCGCTCCTAATTCGATATCTGGAACTGTCTTATTCAAGATGTCGTAATTTCATAATCATTCGGTATTAGATCTGTCATGGTCTGACGTTCTTTGGTCAGAATTACCAGAATGACAAGGGTATAATTCTCCTGGGATATATTCAATAGTGTTTTATTGATAACATGAGATACGAGGAGCGACTATGATTACGATAAAATAATTAAACCTTTTATAAAGATGGAACTATCGTTTTCTACGAATGCACGTTCGATACGGTTAATCATTCTTCAAGCTGGAATTAATGCTGTACTGATAAGACAATCAAAGAAATGTATGTGCAGTATTACATTGTTTACGTTGACATGTAGTAGTAATTCCTTTATCTAATTTATAGCCGGAGCTAAATGAAGAGATTACATAATTTAAATATTACATAATTTATAGCTGGGATATGAATACCGATAAAAAATGAATTTAAAATAAAAATGAAGAAGCGGGATTTTTCTAAAAAAAAAAAAAAAAAAAATCAAAATTTATTAATTGTCCTGTACAGAGTTCATTAAGAAAATTAATTCAAAGAAGGAAAAAAATGCTTTTCGTGTTCCAAAAGATTAGCATTGTATTCTTTTTTTAATTTGTTCAAAATTCTAAAACGTAATAAAATCAAATTCTAAAACGTTATCGTTTACGCTATGTAAGCGATTGCATTGACGATGTTCCCTGAAATCTCCCTATCATATTTCCGCTATTAAAGAATGGTCTGATTGTAGTATATTGTGTTAACGATAGATTTGCTGTCGTACCGTCGCGCGTCGTACGTTTGATACGCACATAAATTTTTCACACAAATTTTTACACAAATTGACATGATAAACTGCGATAAATGTACATTTTATTTCTAAACGCATAAGGAAGTAAAGGAAAATGCTAGGCATATCGAACTTGAGTAATGAAAGTACATGAAGTTGTTTAAGATTGCGAACCTCTGATTGGGGATTACCAATTCTTTTTTTCTGTCGTTATATCGACTTTGTTAGGTTGACCGAGAAAATAATGGGGACCCAGGCTCGGTTCTCTCGCTCCGATTAAAGACGCCCTCCCTTCGCAGAACATGAGAGAGAAAAGAGGAGCGTGCTCGGTACCTACCGTGTAATCCGAGGATCACGCCTCTGTGATAAATTATATCTCCTGCCCACGGCGAGATACTTTAATCAGATCCTTAAAACAATATTCGATCATCCGGAACACGCGCGCACCATTACATTTTTATTTGGGACGGAGAAAAAAAAATGTGGAGCAGAGGAAAAATTCAATATTTCAGAGCAGATCAATTTTCGTTCAATTTCATGGGATTATAGAAATATCTCGCTCCAATGGATCGAACTTCGCTTAATTTGTAACTAAATAAATATCGCAAATTTCGAAACGTTACAAACGTTCCCGTTATAGTGAAATTATTGTTGTGACTGGAATGTTACTTTATCTTTTAATTTCTCTATGATATATGCGCAGCATTTCATTCAGGATGTATCCTTCCGATTGCGTTTGCGATTAAGAAACGTGTAACTTTTATTACACGTTGCGTTATTTTACTCGGAATACCATAAATCATCGATGGTCATTTTGATCGGTTCGCTATCTAGCGCGCGAGCATCGGTGCGGAATCTGCGCAAGTTTGCACGCATAAACGATCCGACAAAGCGACATCCTAACGAGCCGGCATAGTTGTTAGTCGAGCGAAGATTTCATCGAGTAACACATACATACGCACACAAACGTAGGTCTGAAATTATCAGCTACAAGGATAAGATATAAAGAATAAGGCATAGATAAATAGGTAGATAAAGTTTATTACGTATTCTTCAACATCTTCAAATGGGGAAAAAGATTTCAGTGTGCAATACTCGTTTTTTACTCCATTTCTAAGTGTTTTAGTAATTTGTGTTTTTGCCATCGGCAGATGCTTGGAAAGAACGATTTTGCTGAAATATCTAAAAATTGAATTTTGAATCAAACTAATTACGTAAGAAACTCGAACAATGCTGTAAAAAATGTTGACGTTTTAATAATCAGCATCAGTATCCTTGATAATGTTTTTTGATCTAACTAAATAATTATTTTCAGATCTGTATTCAACTAAAATAGATACTGTGAATAAAACTGTTCTTTTTCACACGTATCAACGTTATAAACATGATAATCTAAATTCTAAAATTATTGAATTCAGTGGCTATGTATATTCAAGGAATGTCGAATATTTTTTTTTTTTTCCGAAAATAACATCAAAGTAGTGAGAATTGACACACTTAATATTTTCTTTAAATAATTTCCGTTAATACTATCATAACGCATCCTGTTCGCGCTGCGATTCTTAAACTTTGTCACCTCCGTCTTCGTATCTCGTTCTCATATTTCATTGTATCTCGACCTCGGCGCATCTCGCGCGATAATCCTTTGAATTCGATATTGACTCGGCTCGGTCGCGGACACAATCGCTCTCCGCGATAAGGCACAAGTTCTATCAGCTGGACCACATGCGCGCTTTCAGTGTGTGACATATATATATCTACTAGTCAGATAGCAACGCGTTTCTTCGATCGACAAAGTCGCATCTCTCTAACGGCCGATTATTAATCGGCGCGATGTAACGAGATGCAAATGAGCCTCACGTGTCGGCATCGCTGCAACCGGCTCGCCAATGAAACGAACGCACGATGATTAAGTACGGGCCGTTCGCTCGACTGGAACCTGCTCTCGTGTCCGCCTTCTGATAAGAATTTCATAATTTTCAATCACTTTTTTTTCCCTTTTTGACTCCGGGGTGAAGGTCAAGCATTACGTAATACATTTCGCGGATATCGTATTAAAGATGTATGTATACCTATTACAACGCAAAGCATTACCAAAAATACGAAAGTTTTTATAGATTATTTTATTATTACTTTTGAATATTTGTGGAGAATTTTTTTTACGATTCTTTTATTGGTTTGAAAGTTATTTAATTTGCTTGTTCGTCTTGGTTCTTGTGGAAAATCGCATTTTACGTTTTTACAAATTTGATGAGAGGCATTACGAATTAAATTTTATATATATGTAATAATAAAATTTCAATAAATATTCGTGCAAAAATCCATGTGGATCTCGATATGTTATATTTACCTATGTAAAATTGCATCAAAATATGATAATTATACTGTCAAACATTCAGTAACATACAAGAGAAATGTAATCATACGTCACATGTGTTGTGGATTTGTGTTTACTAATTATTCTTCAATTATATGATCGTCGAAACTTTCTTTATGGCTTAAAACTCGCCCCCACTGAAGCCGATTATACCGATCGGCACATTGGCACTTCTTTTTCTTCTTTTTCAAAGAAAAAGAAGAAGCAAAACTGTCGATTGGCACGCTTGGCTTCAGTGGAAACAAGTCTTTAACATATCCGTATATCGCCATTTGCTGCGACATAATATTTTCATTGCGTTTCGATACGCCGTAAGTTACGGACGGCACTATAATACGTACCGATAATAGACTTTTATATTACATCCGGATTGTTCCAAACCGTTAACCGAAGAATTAGTCCGTGGTAATGTTTGAACAGCTGTTGGCTTGCAACTTCTTGCACTTAAACCTTAAACAAAATATTCCGCTCGAACGAAAACCCTAATTCCCCAATTCTCCGACTAATCGACTTCTCGAACAAATTTCTTTCCGCACATCGAAATTATCCAGCGGTTTATTTCTGATATTACTTTATTATGCATCGTTGTAATATCATGCTCACTCGTTCCTGATACCGATTTCACTGTGTCTCGGCCCTGGGATGTATAGGCCGGCGTGCTGCAAGCTGGTGGTCGCTGACCCTCACTCCGAGTGGTGGTGTACGCTCTTGTATAATAAACCGAATTCGATCGCGGGAGACACGTCGAGCGTAGTCTTTTCCTAGATCTCGTCGCACATCGCCGGTAAAGATAGCAAAGGGGTATATACGTATAGCGAACGCGCGCGGACGTGCCGAGCGCTATGTCGCTTTTCATTCACTAGTCGCGCGCGCGCGAGTAATAATTTATCTCCACCCCCTCTTACGGTTGGAAAAGTCGTCGTTGGAAAACTGCGCGGGGAGTATGTACACCCACGTGGATCGATCGATCACACGCGGAACGTCGATTCCGCGTCGAGGTGGCAAGATGGTGATAGCGACGCCGAGAAATCATTATCTCGCGAACTCGGGGGAAGGTTTATGTTCCCTTTCCCTTTAGCAAACGATATCGAACGATATCGAACATTTCCCGCGAATCGGTTTCGCTTTTCGTCAATAGAAATCATCCATGTGTATCCATAAAAATTGTTTATTTAATAATTACTGCTGTACACAAAACAGGGGCGGTTTTACATGCAAAATGCCAAACTTCGAAAACTTGTATAATTACTCGCTTGATGTGTAATTACGTCGTGCAACGAACCTGAATTTCCTTTGTATAAAGTTAACGTGTGAAGTTAACCACACATTGCTCATAGTTTAATAATCTAATTACTGCTATTTACAAAAAAAAGAAGAAAAAAATTGCAAAAGGATGAAATTGTTTTTCATACGAAATGTCGAACTTTGAGAGCTTCTTCAAGTCTTGACTTTTTTTCTTATTAGGGGAAACCGATATTTTATACCAGTTATAATTGGCTATAAATGTTATATCAAAATTTAATAGTGTTATAAATTATGAGCACGTAACAACACTCGAGAGACTTGATTTTATTAATTATAAAGATCACAAAGCTTTCCTGTAGAGATATTTTCAATTAAAGAGACGCGCTATCTCATGCATATTTCGAATGTACAACACACACACACACACACACACACACACACACACACTGAAAACTTAATTTAATCTCGAGGGAATAAATTATTTTATACACAGACGTTGAATAGGATTTTGAATATAGTTTGCAATTAGTATCGATAATGACTGTCTACATTTCTTCACGGAGAGAACAAGAATGTAAATGAACAAAATGAAGTAGTTGAATGAGAAATATATAAAGCAGCGCATCTAATTTTTTTACATTTCGAGACGTGTAAAATTGTTATTTTTGAGAGGATACCTTTTTTTTTTTTCAATAATTGGAAGGGCAAATATTAAATATTAGTTTTAGCACGCGCGAATTTATTTATATCGCTCAGGCAAGAACCAACAAACGTTTCGCCCACTCGGTCGTTGGTTTGTGCGCTTTGGAAAACGTAAACAACGGGATTCGCGACCGATAATTCTCTCCACGCGCGCTATATAACGTCTGGCAGCTGGCGTACACGTACACGTAAAAACCCTGGCTTTAACTCGCCGTTCTAATTCTAATCCCCCCCCCCCCTCCCCCTCGGACTATATTTACTGAAGCTTTTCCCATTCATTGCGAGCACGCGATGTGTCGTTACGTGAATTAACGCGAATGCAACGCAGCGGTGCGGCGCTGCATCGCGTTTTACCCCGTTATTTTCGTTGCACTTCATTTTACACTTCGTATCAAGATCGCGTTTCATAATCGCGCACGCACGAGACGCGATCTAATCGCGCGAGTTAATCGCGAGTCAATCGCGACCGTTATCCATTCTTCTCTCCCCTCCCCCCCCCTCCCCCTCCGATTTCCATCCGAAAAGAACCGCAACGAACGGAACGGCGTGATACGTCCTTTATTTATCGACGATTTTTATCTGTACTCGGAATAACGAGTAGTTTATGCTAATGTAAGTTAAACTAATGGGAACTAGAAGAGAAAATATGAGTCAGCAGAAAATAAATTAAGATAATCTGTGATCTGGATAAATTATTTAAATCTAAATGAGTTAAATCTATACGAATGCTGTTATTTTTGCGATATAAAGATACATTCACACAGTTTTATACAACTGAAAAATATCAATTTGTTGTACAGGATGATGAAAAAGTATGATCAATTTTTGTATGTTTAATTGTTTGTTAAATTATTACTCGGATAGTAAGCTGACATTGAGTGTGTTCCAGTAAAAAAAAGACACAGATGATTCAATGTAACACGATGAATTATTATATCTTTATTGTTAGCCAAAATTAAACAAAGATAAAATTACTATGTTTTACTGAATGGTTTTTGATATCATTAAAATCAAATAACACCAGCTTGTTACCTGATAATGATATGTGTTTAAAAAAAAACAAACTCTGAAATGTTAATTTGCACCAAAAAGTTTTTATCAGTTAATTGAAGATCGCTCTACTGGCTGCCTGGCAGAATTGATCCGTGAAAAGATGGGCGGTTATTGTTGATGCGTTTCCGAAGCGCCTTAAAGCTTGTTTCAAAGTTAAAAGTGATTATTTTGAATATTTATTATTTTTTTCTATTTAATAAAATATAACTAATAGTCCAATTTATTTGTTTATATACGTTACTAATAATTTGATAAAGACAAAACTTTGTGCATCAAACTTTTTTGTCATCCTATATAATAATTGTTAGCTACGACTTAAATGATTTTCTTAATGACATTCTTCGATTGTATCGTGTAGGTGGGAGATTTATTTATCTGATTTACATTAACTTTACATATTAACTTCATAAAAAGGAGACTTAGATTGCGCATTACATGACGTAATTACACATCAAGCATGTATCACGGTATGTCGAACGTACGACGAAAACATGAGAAACAAGTACGAACGAGCTTCGTCATTCGCATTTAATTTAGTTGTATTTCATCTTCTTATATAATGCATTCTTCACGGTATATTGCCGCGATCAGGTATGCGTGAAAAGGTACAAATATTTCGAGATACTACCGTTCGACTAGTAGTCTCGTCAACTTGTACAAATTTCATTAATATTTGGACAGCTTTCGAGCTAACGACATCCGTAGGTGAACCATTAAAGTCAACCGCCGAAATTACGGCTTTTACATATGCGAGGGAGCAAAAATCGATCGGTGATTTCTTCTTGTGAGTATCGTCGTGAGTTGTTTTTGTCCGTCTCATTTTACGCTTGTTACACGCCTATTGCTTTTGCGTGTTCTGCTTGTTTTCTCAAAGTTTTTTTATTGGCGCTTTGCTTATTAATCTAATTTTTGCAATTCTATTTAATTGATTAATAAAAAATGTAATAATTATTGTTTTCTTCTTAATCTGAAATTAATATATCAATATTATATCGATCGGAGTTTGATAGATCTAATCCAGAATTTCAATTGATCGAACTAGACATTTTTCTCAATGTTTTATAAATTTAAATAAAGAATATATTATTTTTTGCATATAAATGATACTTAATTGTGTTATAATTCATTATCTGTTTTCTCAATTTCAATTCTATTAATATTAATACTTTTCTTTGCTAAATCATTTTATTTATTCGATAAGCATTTATATTATAATAAATTAAATACTACATATATATTTTTATGTATTTATGCGCGTTCAATATATTAGTCGCATATATTTTTTTTTGCTCATTTATTTACGAATCATGCAACGTTTAATCGGATCCTCGCGTTGATCGATAAACTATGATCGATTGGCAGCTGTTCGGCGTCGATCGAGGACGTCGTGGCGGATCTCGTGGAAAATGAAAATTCCAGAACGGACGGTAGATTGTAACAACGTTCCAACTGCCATTCGCTTCCGTTCGCACGCCGATTAATCGCGCTTCTCTATCATCAAGACATTACTAGCTCTCTGGTTCTGTGTGTGTATATGTGTGTGTGTATGCGCGTGTGGCTCACCACATCCACTCTCTCTCTCTTTCTCTCTCTCTCTCTCGTATAAGCTTCACTGGCAGTAGGACAGCGCGCAAGAGGGGAGAGGGGCCAGGGGAAGAGCACCTGTGCAAGGTTGAAGAGTACACCACGACCACTCCTTGTTTGTCGCAACCTGTTAACGCGCCGCCTGTTCGCGTATGCCGGCGCGCAACAACCCTTCTTCGTCGTTCAACCGACGGGAAAACTTTAGGCCGTGTAATCCCCGGCAACTGGTCGACCAACCGACCGACCGACCAACCGACCGACCGGCTTGGCTGGATAGCAGTCGGTCGATCTGCACTGTGATCATCCCGGATTATCGTTCTTCGTCGTTTCTCAAATCCGCTATTGAAGTCGGCCGAGACCGCGCCGGCGAGAAATCGATCCTCTGACGCAGATCGCTCGACGAACGAGTGGTGGTGATGGTGGTGGTAGTGGTGGTGGTGGTGGTGGTGGTGGTGGTGGTGACGATAACGACGGGAGGTTGTAGTGGGGTAGTGTACCCCGTATAATCGGATCCCTCCACGAGAGCTTTTCCCTTCTTCATCATATATCGCAACGTTACATCGTATGCCGCAAGGCACTCACAAACACGTTTAACATATATATATGTGTGAACAGGAAACTGATTTATTCATTAGTTTCACGGGACGCAAGCAGCGGCTATCTTTTACAGTTGCTTACGAAGTCATCCTTAACTTAACTATTTATTTAAAAAATCTGCAATATAAAAAATATTTTTGAACGAAAGATGTAAAAGGTCAGAGCGAATAATCGGTGTTTTTTAGTACACTTTTATGTAAAGTATATATGTATAATGAGGCAAAAAAATTTCGTATGTGTGAATAGAGGAGTTGTATGAATTTCATTAACGTTTATTCTTATTATGTTAGTTAGGTGTTTGTTAGAAACTGCTAATGAAAGTGAATGACAACGGTAAAGCGATTTGCATTTCTCCTTGCAAGATGAAATTTATTCATTATTATATGAATCAAACTCTTTAAGAGAGAAGGGAGACGAAAATCGTACGCGACAATAATAATTATCACAAAAATAATTATCTTACTAAAAACGTGAAAGATTGAATTGAAACATCATTACGACTTTGTTGCTCTTTTCTTGTAACGAATTCCGTTGGACGCACTCAACGTGCACTCATATAAAACAGTCATAATTGACGTAAAAGTAGGTACGTTTAATGTAAATACAGAAACGGCGAAATTTTCAGAATTTTATTGTGCTGTTAATAATAAAATATGTATTTTATAATTGGAAATATTTGCATTTCATTTTTACACTTAGACTAAATCAGTGTACAATAGCTTTTTGATGTACCCCAGCCCGCATTAGTGCGTTCAACTGAATTCACTATTAGTCGCTTTTACTCTTATCTCCTCCAGGAAAAAAATTGTTAACATTTCCGGGGGAGACATCTTTGAGAGTCTAGAAAAAAAAGTGTAAGTGAAATGTACAAAGTATACGCAAATAAACTTGTTGTTATCAGTAGTTGTATATTACGTACTCACGTCGTTATTTCCCTGGCCGATCGTTTGCATGGTAATATTACATACACGGTCAAATTACAGACACGTGTAATATTGTAGAGCGCGCGCGCGCGGGTACTTTTCAATCTTCCGCGATTATTCACTTTTCGCAAACTCAAAAATCCTTTCGCTGAACGTGACCTTCGTCACTCATTCGTATCAATAGCGATAAAATTCTTGAGCCACAACATTGCCAATTGACTATTTTATCGGGCAGTGCGTTGCACAATGAGATAACAATACGAATCTTTACGTCTATATCACAGGATTGTTTCTCTCTTTCTTTCTCTCTTTTTCTCTCTTTAATTTTCAAGTATTCGCACTGATGTACTTTAGATATTACTAGTTTCACAAAAGTCGTTTCGTTAAAAATGAGCGATATAAGAATGAACGCGTATGTGTATTTTAGGCATATTTAAATATTATATAATAATTAATGAACTCATTTGTGTACCAATTTGTCGTACATTCTTCTACTGGACATGTGAATACTAAACGCGCGTTAATATTATAGTTGAGTATGGAAAACATCACAAATTGCTAAGAGCTTATCTTTCATAGTTACTTTAATAGTTTAGATACTCGATATTTTTTTTCCATTAGAATTTCTAACTTCGGTTTAGTCAAAAGTAAAATACACCTGTATGACGTACGAATTTACATTATTCTTTCATCAAATTTTTTGGACTCGCAAACTTATGTCGTTATATATCATTAGGCATAAATATCAGTGTTACGTGAATCTTGTCTCAATTTATGCAAATGTGTGTAAAATATAGCATCGAGTCTTTTTTTTTTAGATATAGGCTGAGCACAAAGTAGACTTCTTCAACTATTGAGGACGAAAAGAGGAGTTTTGGGCTCGTGTAACGTCATACCTGCTGTATCGATCGTGTATTACGCAATTTAGGACAGTAGACATCATACGTATTACAGATTCAGGACACGGTAATGGCATTGAAGTAATAATCGCGCCACCCTCGTATTGTCCTCGAGATACACGCATCTCGCTTGCCTGTCGAACTTTTCTCACGAACGTAGCGTGTCGAGAGAAAGCATTTTTCGCGTTTTACTGTAGCAATAAACGTTGTAAGATTTTTTTACAACGAAATCCGCTCCGTTCACCATGTTCCCGCGGAACTTTTTATTCAAACCGAGAATTCTCGTTTACTTTATTAGATGTAGATCACCTGGTATAGGGTGATCCACCCACGAACTTTTCTCTCAGACGGGGGATCGTATTTCATCGTTACATTTTCACCGCATTAACGATCGAAGCAATTAACGTTATCTGCCTCAATACGGCATATGGTTGCGAGAGATAAAGGAGTCGCTTTCTATTTCCCAGCTAACATTATTGCCAATACGCTATGTGTACGAATACAAAGGCTCCTTTAATTGCTTTAATTACCTAGGCACCAATGCTTTCGAACATTGTAGGAAAGAAGCAAGATCTGTTTTGCATTCCGTATTATACAATTCGTAATTATCTATTATTCTATTCTATCCTCTCCACGATCGCGATAGATGTATCAGTATTTGCACACTGTTTTCCGATTATCCTTGATAAACGGTTAACCTATTTTTTTACTTTAATGTATCGACCCAAACATCTCCATTTTTTTCTTCACACCGTTTCTCAATTTTTAAGACTGAAATTTCAGTTGCTAGAAATCCACTAGTTTAGTCTGAAATATTTACAAGAAGAATTGGATTCTTGACTTTCTTTCATTCTATAATACAATATCCATCTTTGATATCAGATCGTGTATGATGCTCTGAATAAATCTTGTCAAGTCCGTTATTCGAATTTATTTTGACCCATTTTTATTTTTAAAATACGATAACAACACTCCGTATTGATTGTCGCGCTTATAAATTCATTTCATTAAAACCGTGTGATGTGTATTTTTTTAAACCTTAATCGCGCTAAAGAGATATACTCTGAGGACGAAACGAAAGGTGTAAAATCTTTCTTTCCTTTTTTTTTTTTTCGGGAAAATGCAAAGAGCTAAATGTGCGTCCTTTGCGTGATGATGCTAATTCTATACGAATTCTATTCTAAAAAATCATTGAAGCTGAGTGAACTCCATGATTATTTGCAATGATCGAGCATCGATAAAATTGCCGACGCGAGACGTATGTTGCTTTTCGTACATTTTGCATCACGCATTCATATACATTTGCCGCGACTAGAAAGCAATTTGAATATAATGTACGATGAATCATCATTCTCTTGGCGATCAGTTGCGTTTTCATTACTATCTCTGACCGGATCGTTTTTCTCGCACTCCTCTTTCTGACAGTTCTTGAACTGTATTTGATGAAAAAAATCGGCAGTTTTTTAATAAATTAATCTTTAGAGAATGGTCGAATAAGTAACATCATTTATTTCGAGCAGAGATTTTGTTTCCATTTTTAATTTAAAACTCGTTAAGACACTTTAATGTGAAAATGAGATGGTCACTTCACACACCCGCTTAGAATAATTCAACTCCGAAATTTAGTCCGAAACTCATTAGGATACTGAATTCCTTTCAAGTCGTGACGAAGAATTCTTTTTGATACCTTCCCTGAAGAGAAATTACGTGAGAGTAAAAAAATATAACTCCGACAAATACGCCGCGCTGGGATTTACGTCGCAAAAAGTCAGAAAAAATAGAAGGAGTGGGGATAATTTTTCCGTAATTACCGTGTTACATGCCTTTGTGTTGTAATAGTATTGTATTGTGATTTCAGTTTTTTATTGTTAATATTAATGAAATTATTGAATCGATTTGTCACTGTGTTAAGTAGCGCCATCATAAACTATAATCTACATAAAATGATTACTGTAGGACGTGCAAAAGACTTAGTGGTTATTTCGTGATACATGAATGTAGAGGAATAGTAAAGTGTGTTGTATAACAAAATACATAAAGTACTTTGCTCTTGTATTTTTTGTTTGTTGTCTTGTATACCCCACCTGTTTGAGATATATGGCTTTTTTAACAAGCGGGATTTATGCCTAAAGCATACAAAGTGCGCAGATTGAATTCAATGCACTAAATACATGAAATATGTACCTCATGTCATAACATTTGTATCAATACATCTGGGAACATTATTTATTACTTCATACACACATATTTATCATTCTTATTCCTTAATAAAACACTATAAACGCATTTTACAAATTATTGTCATTTTACATCTTAAGTTCATTTTTTAATACGAAATATAAATATTTCTAATATTTTTTTTTCATAATAGTAGACAGTACAAAGTTTTTACTGATATAGTAGATAATATTTAATAAATTAAGTTTTGATAGGTGCGGCGTATATATCGGAGTTACCGTATATTCGTGTTTATTTAACATATATTTTATTTTTAAACACGCTGTATACCTTCTTTCTGTTATTCAGCTGCACCAAAAAAAGTTCAATTATCTTGTTATCTTGGAATAATATTTTTATATGCGTATCTGTAAAATATGAATTATCTCGGGTTAGTAAGGCAAGTGATTAACGCGGCTTTCAATTGTATAAGTTGTTTGTAAAATTGCAACGATTTTGTTGAAAAGTTGCGATCATAAATTTTTTGTCTGCTCTTTGCGTCTTTTACAGTTACACTCTAAAAGGCTCGAGTTAGTTAGAAGACACGTTACATAAGAAAAGATTAACGTTGCCGAAGTTAAAAGATTATCACGGTTTAGCCGCGACGTAAATTCGTTGACCCAGAGCATATATTTCGCCCATAAAAACACCCACTGGCTTAAATTAGTTCCCCTTCCTCCCGACACTGACGATTTATTTGTGGGCCCGAAACGTTTAATTCGGTCGCGCTTGTGGCTAATTCTATACTGTACCGTAATAGTTGCGTATTTATAGTATATATTACAGTAATATCGTGACAATTAATTTACCGTTCATCGTTATATTATCCGTCATTGATTTTAGAATATATTGCAATAATAATGACAAGTCTTCTTTTGGGTGGTGCATTAAAAATGGATGTAATTGACACCTCGGCGTTGCGACAAAGATCAACCATTGTTCATAAGAGTAGAACTGACGAATCGGAGTAGTTCAATCTGATATTTAACTACTATATTAAAAATAATGTACAAACACAGGATATTACGAAATGGTATACTTAATAAACAGATATAGTATAGCTAAAAAAAAAAAACGAAAAGTATTGTATTTATGCGCAATGAATGAAAAAATAAAAGAAGAATAAGATCGAGCTATTCAAACTGAATTTTAAAAGCGATTCGCAAATTTTTTTCAGTTCACCTGTGTATATAATAATTTTTTTGTTAATTTTAATAACATAAAAATATTTTTTTGTCATAATAAGAGCTTTGATTACTTAGTTACTTTTGCAATTGTCATTTGGTCGAAAGTCATCAATCACGCTACTGGAAGTTATGGTCTGCCCGCGATAAATTTTTCGAGAATCGAGATAAATATTCCGTTTTTTTTATTTTATTTTATTTTATTTTTTTTTTGTTTGTTATTTAGGAGAATACCTGTCGCAGAATAAACGCACGTTTTATCTCAACACTTAGTTAAAAATTCCGTTGTATTAGCTCGTCGCTGCGGCAGCTCAATTATCAATTCCAATTGAAAAACACGCTCTCCTCCCATAACAACGTCGCGCACGACATCATTCCCTTTTATTCCGCTTGAAAGCCACAATCTCGCAGTGGTAAACGATTCGACACTTTGTTTGCCGGTCCGTGGGCTCTCTGAAGCACACGCCAGCCGGCGCTTTGCGAACTTGCTCGTATACACGCACGGCATCGTAATCGATACATGAAAGTGACACGCGCTCGAGTTTCCATTGAATATTAGGTTTTAAAGCGCGGTCCAGTTCTGTCGCTCTCCGCGAACTGTCGTGCTTATTTATCGCTCACAGCCTTTTCCCGTAACACCCCGACGAGCGAAACGCATTAAATCTAGAGAGACGAGTAATGTGGGAATCATTTAAAAGCCAAACGTCCCTTTCCACCGGTAACTTTTCCGTTTTTTTTTTTGTTCGAAATTCTCTCGTGACAAAATATTTTTTCTTGAATAAAATACTCGACGAATATCTTGTATCTCGTAAAATACAAGTATAAATTTTATTTACGTAATTTACCTATTTTTGTAATCTCTACCGTCATGATTATCGTTTCCTATTTTGATAACGAGAAAGTATAAGAGGTTTTTACATACGAATATTATCATGTTTTTCTACATTGTTTATTATAGATTAATATAATTTTAATTTTCAAATGAATAAAAATGTGTGTTTTTTTTTTTATGTTACAGTGTTCTTAATATTCCATCCAGTGTGATTTCGAAGACTTGCCTCTTATTCAAGACGTGGTGCAACAATGGGTCGAAAGAAGATTCAGATTTCACGTATCACGGACGAACGGAATCGTCAGGTAATTATAAATATTTTCAGTGAAACAAGTCTGACGTTTCTGTAGCGATTTAACGGCGCTCATTAAGAGCGCGTCAATTAGTACATATTTTTGAAAGTTGTTATGGGGAAAAATTGAAGCGTACAAGCAGCAGAAATTTATTTTTCATCTTTTACTATTGCAAAGAAATATCAATTTCCGAGAAATATCAATTTTGTATCACAAGTCAATATTTTGAATAGACGTTGAAATTCTACTTTTTGCTTTTCTACATAAAGTATAGAATGGCGCATAATTAAGATAATCGGCTCTGGGATATAAACACGGCGGCTCTATAGATACATTTTTTTTCTTAAAATAAATTTAATCTTTCTCGCGATGAGAAAGAAAAACGTAAGAACGCGTATAAAAAGATCTTGTTAATTATTGATGCGATTTTACGTAACGTGACTGATTGGGCAATTAAATAACGCGATGAATCAATTATCGCAAAACGAAGAGTATCGGCTGCGCCTACCTTTATTAGCAGCCTTATTACTCAAAACTTCGCTGAAGTTAACCTTTGATGCGATTCCCCCCTTCTGCTTTTATATGCGACAGGTGACCTTTAACAAACGGAAATTCGGCGTGATGAAGAAGGCATACGAATTGTCGGTACTGTGCGACTGCGAGATCGCGTTGATTATCTTCAGTTCGAGCAACAAGCTGTACCAGTATGCGAGCACCGACATGGACAAGGTTCTTCTCAAGTACACCGAGTACAACGAACCCCACGAGTCTCTCACTAACAAGAATATTATCGAGGTGAGTCGATTTATCCGTCACGGATTCTCAGGATGAACGAGAATGCGCCAAGGATCGATATTGATGTCGTCGCCGATTTTTTTTTGTAAATGTCTCTCTCTCTTTCGCTAAAATTTTCGATGGGAAAAGAAATATATCTCACGGATATCTTTATGGATATGTATATATGCCAAGGTCAAGACAGCAGTGTCGAATATACAGGGTGTATCGAAGAAGCTTGCTATGAATTATAAATGATAAAAAGAATTTTAACAGATTACAATACAGATAAATTTTATTGAACGTTACTACATATTGAAGGTTTTTTTTTTTTCCAGAAATACGAGTAAACAACAATCAATTTTCAAACACACATACTCGGGCCTTAATTTAATGAAATTTTAAGCTGTAGTTTATAAATTCTTGTATGAGGTGTCAAGACTTCTAAAATTGATTAATTTGAAAAAAATATTAAATTTTAAATAACAATATTTAAAAATCTGATGTAACATATGATTATGCCGCGACACGTGTATTCACATATTATGGTGTTTTAAGATAACTGAGAAGTTTTGAAATTCATTCTCCTTAGGCATGTTTTTTTTGATTTTGTCATATTATATTAGGTGTGTCGATAATTCAGAAAGAATATAAAATCAACGTTTCACGTACAATACCGTCTTCTTACACACTTGCGGAACGCGGTTTCACTTCGATGAGAGCAACGCGATCCCTTTTTCCTTTTCTATGCGGGCATAATTGCGAGAATAAACCGGGTAGGATAAGAAGCGCGCGTCTTGGTGTTAAATTAACGTGCATGTGAAGGTTGAGTGCCCTCGGGCGGTGTGGTCACGTGAACCTGTCTGCTGACACTTGCAGGCGCTCAACAAGAAGGAACATAAGGGTGCCATGTCTCCAGAGAGTCCGGAACCCGACGCAATTGAATATAATCTTACCCCGCGCACCGAGGCCAAATACACGAAGATCGACGAGGAGTTTCAGATGATGATGCAGAGGCATCAGCACAATGGCAGCAGGGTAAATATTCAAATCAAGTTAAATGTCAGTTGTATCGAGCCGAGCTTATGTTTATGCAAAAGAAAAAGTTATAGTTTTTTTTTTATTATGGTTACCACACATTTATGTTTATGCAAAAACGCCAATTAATTTATTCGTCTGAAATCTTTATAATCTTTAGAATACGAATATAATACCTAGGTATTTCTATATAATAATTTTTGATATCGGGTCCCTCTTTTGAAACATGTTATTCAAAATATTTAAAACTGTCTAGTTTGATTTATATAAGGACTATTTAAACAAGTTAATTAATGTTTTAAATTAACTTTATCGTCTTTATTAAAATAATTAATATGTGAATATTATGTTTTATTTAAAATTTTAATACGTCCTATCACAGATCAATTTTTGTAAACGTAGGTTACGATTGTTTTTGTATTTATTTTTCTACAAAGAGAGAAGACATGTGGTAAGGATTTTTTTTTACCTCTTTTTGAGAATATTTTTGCAAATGTTGCAGTTATTAGCAATTATTAAATATTTTATTATTTCAAAAATACATATGTATATATGTTATAAAATTATATATATATATATACATACAATAACAATGTTTTATGTACTATTTTGTTATTATTTATTATATTATATAAATTAATATACAATTAGTATATAGTACACAATTTATAACTTATAAGAATTTAACACATTTTAATTTAAAATGAAAATAATTAAATAGAATTAACTTCTATTTAAATAAAACAATCAAACATACGAATTTATATAAAAAATTGTTTGACGTGTTTCGCTTAAAATTGCTTAGCCAATTGTTTTTAGAATTCTATTTTCGTCACTAAGAAAAGAATTAAATATGAGTTTATATACATTCGCCATTATATTAAAGTTAAGATAGAACAATAGCAAATTACAAATTTGCTATCAACTGCTCGACACAGCGCTATATCTATACACTCTTCACTACAGGTATTATTAATTTGCATTGTCTGTTGTGATTGTAGACAATGGGACAATCGAATTATACGCTACCGGTATCTGTACCAGTGAACAGTTACGGCGAATCTCTTCTTGGATCTAGTCCACAGATGGCACATACCAGCATTTCTCCACGTCCATCGTCGTCTGAGACGGATTCAGGTAACTTTAATTAGTTACAAAAGGCTGGAGGCAAATTCCTAGTATTTTCAAGAAATTTGCGTCTAACTTGATAAATTATTTGTTGTAGTATATCCTCCGGGAGGAATGTTGGAAATGAGCAATGGCTATCCTCCGTCAGCGTCACCATTGGGTGGTTCACCTAGTCCAGGACCTTCGCCCGCACTCGGAGTTGGTGGAGGTAGTGCAAATAAAGGCAGCAATCCGTCTAGGCATTCGCCACAACCTCCGCCTCCACCGCCACCGCCTCATCCTCACAGGGCTAATCTTCGAGTGGTTATACCAACACCACTTGCACAACCTCTCTCCGAAGACACTAATTATGATGTAATTGTCTCATCATTATTAACTTAAATGAGTGTTACAAGAAATACTTTACTTTAATCTTTATTTTATAACAATTCTTCTGAATTTCTCATATTTATAAATTTCAAAAATTATATAATTTGCAATAATTATTAAAACATAAAGTTAGAAATTGAATTCCAAAATACAATTAAGAAAATAAATTCTTTCTTTTTGTAAAAAATATTTTAAATGACAGAGAAAAAATTTCTTATTAATTACTAAAGCATATATATTGTGTGTTTAAGATAAAAAGATGTTCGAAATTTACGAGAAATTCATTTGTGCTTTTAGAATGCCCATACGCAGTCTGCATTGAATACACCTGTAGTAGCGTTACAAACACCAACAGTACCAGCCGGATACTCTAGTTTTGGACCAACAGATTACTCCTCGGATCTCGGAGGCCTTGCATGGCCCACTCATCAGAGGTACGTTGTTGATGAGTTATATTCGGCAGCCACCATGTCCAGCATCAGGTAAATCATATTTCATAATTATTGTTGTGAAAGAAAGCTATATGTCCAGTTGGTATGACATACTTTCAGTTATTTTATCCATATTAATTAATAGATGACATGTTCGGTTCTAATTGGATTAAAAAATTGAACATATATAATAAAATATTTTTCACATTTTAATAAATTGCATTAAATCTTATTACAACTCATTTACATACTTCAATAATTGAAACAAATTCAAACTCAATGTACACAAGTTTCAATTAGTTTCTATTTTCTCATTCTCATTCTCGTAGTTGTTATTTCTTTTTGTTTCTTCTTTTCGCTTGTCTCTTTAAATTCTTCATATTCATTATTACTTAATTAAATAATTCGCATAGATCTGTAGCTGTAATATATCGACCACTGGAGCGCTATAGTTTTTTTTCGATTACAATAGTGTTTGGCATGTCATTAAAATTGTGAGTGTTGGATATTCTTCATTTTTATTTACAGATAGATTGTGTGCTTAGTAAAATCACATTATTATGGGAAAATTATCAAATATATTGTCAAAAGTACATTCCCATAAGTCACATCATGATTTGATTAACTTTCATTTATACTTTATGCATGATTGCATGTCCTCACATAAGTATACACAGGGATGGGACGCAAAATCATAGAAAAATTATAGCTTCTCACTAAACTAGACTTGTTGCGATAAGAACATATTCACACACATATTTTCTTTTTGAATTTTTAACAGTTTACACAAATATTTCCCTTGTATCACAAAACTTTTTCGACATTGCAGTGGTCTTCCTCACCTAGCTGTATCGAGCAGTACACCACCACCATCCACGTCGCCTTTACCTGTAAAGATAAAAAGTGAACCGATAAGTCCACCCAGAGATCCGCATGGTAACAGTGGGTCTAATGGTGGACCCAGTAACGCCAGCAATCTACATCATACAAACTTGAATGTCGGTCCATCGTCCAGTACCGGTCCACCGCCACATCACGTGTCTCATCCGGGACCTCAGACACTGAACTTGGTATCGAGCAGACCGAGTAGTAATCCACCTCCGTCCCACTCGGGTAGCATAACACCGACAAATCTACCGTCGCCGGGAAGTGGTGCAGTCGGTGATATCAGAACGAATCATTCTAGCGGTGGCGGGAATGGAGGGAACAGTTCAGACTACGAGAACGGACCGCTCATGAAACGCTCGAGAATCACGGAAGGTTGGGCGACTTAATGTCGATTAAATTGTTGCACTCATCAGTTGTTTGATACCTCCTCGACGTACAACGGCATATAGTGCTTGTGAGTTCCAGTATAATTAAACAAACTCCTTTTAAACGTCTTTGAAATGCGTACTTCGTACTATCGCGATAACGATAGCTGACGTGATGGATACGCTTCCGCCATAACTAGCGGAGTGGAAAAATCTGTTTATATTTTGAAGCTGACACAGAATATACATTTATTTGAAGAAAAAAAAAAAAGAAAATACGGTGCCATAATGTTGAAACTTTATATATATATATTATATATATGATAGATACATATATATATATTTTCATGTATATAATATAAAGTGTTGTTTGTATATATGTCATAAAATTCGTACTAACTTTCGCGATATGGCATTGAGTCCATCCTTGATGCTTATCGTACGAAAATTTATGCGAAAGGAAACAGTATGTTAAGGAATAACGCAGTACCCAAATTATAAAATTTCTGAAAGTGTAATACTGAATCTAAAAGAGCTTGTGAAAAAATCTACACGTAGTGTAAGATTTATAAAGACCAGAACTTACCATTGCAATTCGTTGTTATTTTGTATGGTATAGTAGTCAGAATACGCCATAACCCGTTAATATGATCTCGCGCTGCAAAAATATGCTTTGTTCAGAAACATTGCCATTGCAGTTCGCAAACATTATATTCCATTAAATATATCAGCCGTTTATTTATGGGCAACTTGCTTGTTCGCGAGAAATGCAAACTTTCTTATTAATTGCAGTTTTCTACTCTTAAGAGAGAATTTTATCAAAAAGAAATTTCATATTTTATTTTGCACATTAAGATTTTTAAATGTTTGAATTAACTAACTAATTTTATTGTTAACGTGAGTTTATTAACGGTCTGTGGTTTCCGAGCATATGGAAATCGACTGCTGTACTCAAACTTTTCATGATATTCTATAGAACAAGATTCGAAATTAATATATTGAATTATATGAGGTAAAATATGAGATAGATAGGCATATTATATAGTGTTGATTAATTAAAAAAGATATACACACAGCGCGCGTATAGATATATACATACATATATATATATATATACACGTTATATACATTTTCCACAAGTATTTTGCACATTTGTATAAAGAAAGATGGAGGAAGAAAACTTGAAAACTTGCAACCCTTGAAGCCTAAAAATATGTAACGAGAATTTGTATACTACAGGTGTATGCCGTATACTAAAAATGTGATTAAACAAAACTTATGATAAGGAGGATTGAGTGATATTAATATTAATAACTTTAATCGTAAATTTTTAAAGAAACCAAAATTACACACATTTTTAAATACACTTCATTATATTTGCCATGATCAATTTTATATAATTTTAACCTGTAGTTTTTTTAAATATAAAAACATTTCTAGAAAGATTGACTGTACATAGAAAACAAAATTGTTCTTAAGGTGAGAATTTAAAAAATCTTTCGTCGCAGAGATCTATTCTGTGATATGTAAGAAGTTATATGAATATATAGAAGAGATTATCCTTTTCGACATCAGAAACGCGACCTTCTCGGCCAACAATCATGTAAAGATAAATTTAAAAAGATCTTGGCAAAACAGGGTTGCAATTGTGTAACGATGTAGAATTACCTTCTTCCTGAAATCAGTAAGATGAAAATGTGTCAAGATGGTTTCAATGTATGTTTTACAATCTCAGGATGTATCCTGATGAAAATCGTTCTCGAGAGTTGTATTTGATAAATTATTGTAATTAACATACTAATGGAATATGCAGGTATATGAATGAATAGTGCCTGGCACCATTTGTGGCCCTCCTGTTAGGATGCTTTCCCAAATCATATATGCAGTACAATTTGTTAATAAAGTCTTGAAAATAATAAGCTACTTAAGCGCGATATATATACATATACGAGGAAACGATATATGATGTTGTAAGCTTTATAATGTGACTTTTTGACAAATAGCGTGGGAAGGCAACCTCTATTATAATCGAAGGTTGTACGATAAGGTATAACCCTCGATATTCATTTTCTTTATTATGCATATATTAGAAATGTTTCATATGACTGTACGAACAATCGGTATGTGGAATATGAAAGCGTAATGCGTATAGTCATTAATCTTAATCACGAATTTGTAAGATGATCACAAAGTGCAATCTCTTAGCCAACACACTTTTTTATCAAACAAAAAAATATAAAGAAATTGTTATTTTTCATAACGAAGAAGTAAACTTTAATGTATTAAAGATATATATGTCTCCACTAGTTATTAAACTTTTCCTATTGATACGAAATTTATTATATTTAATTGATATTTAATTGTAATATATTCTATTCATATATTACGAAAGATGATTGTATATACCTGGTACACAGGTATAAATGTTTGCAAGTGGATTTATATTTTAAAACTTCGTATTATGTTTAAATGCATTTGATCGATATGTTGAACAGGAATACGAATTAAATCCAAGGCCAATCTCTCGACGTTATTTTTTCGAGAATATTATACCCTTTATTGTGACTTTTGCATAACTTTGAACGTAAGATAAAAATGTTAAATCAGTTAATTTCACATTTTATCGGCGTTGTTATATCGGTAATTGAAATTTCTCACATATATTTGCCTCACACAGGATATAATTTAAATTTAATCTCAACGGATATTATAAACTCAAAACTTGTTAATTCTTTTTCCGAAATGCCCTATTGTGATATCGAAACTGACATGATCCTTTTGCATAGTAAGTCCATCTAAGATCATTTGAGTGTTCTGACATCAACACTTCTATACAGTCACAGTGTGATGTGAAAAGCATGAGCAGTACTTTATATGCAAGGTTTATATGTACTATCTGATCTATTTTACCATAACATATAGTATGATAATCCATAACAAAACCCATAAGAGTAGGCAATTTGTTAAATGTACGTTAAGTACATGTACGTACACTTCAATGTATATTTTTAATATGAAGTACGTGTAAGTTATATCTGTGAGCAAAAATAAGTTGATGTAATTAAAGATGTATTCGTCTTGATCGGCACAACTTATGACGAAGGTTACATTGTTATCAACATTGCAGAATAGAATAAAGTTCATACTTTGCAATTTTCACTGTTTGACTGCAAATACTGAGAACTATAATTTTAAAATCGTTTGAAAAATGTAATATAGACAAAATATTATCAACTTTGGAAGACTCCCGGTGACTGAAGGTATATTTTTCTGTATTAGCTTTTTTATTTTTTTTTTTTAACTTGAAAAGTTCAAAGCGCGATCCAATTGTGTAAAATTGTGCTGACTTGTGTGACATATATTTTATCTAAAATATATATTGCGTTTAAAATATTCATTTATATCGTGTTCTAAATACTCTTTGGTTACTTGCCGTGATCATACAGTTGTGCCTCAAGATTTCGACAGATATTCAATACGTAAAATAATGATAATTATTGTAGTTAAAAACTCAGAGACTATTGAAATTGTTGGAACGCTGTGAACGAAATGGACCATCGTTAGAAGAGCCATATGCATAAGATAAATGAGGTCTACGAATGGTTAGACGTTTTATATTGCAACATAAACTAAGATTGTTTGGAAAAGAGGCCATTATAGGCTTTAGGCAATGTTCGCAAATAATCGAATTGCAATGCACGGCACAAGTACCAGATCACTGAATGTAGAAAAAAAAAATACTATGTATATTTTTTAGCCACAACTGTTGTCACCACAAATATAAATAAATAAATATAAATATATATATATATATACACAATTAAGTTTAAATACAGATTTAAGTACTGGACATATCTGTAAAGCCAAGTAGCATCACATTTTTAAACGTCATAAGGAGATATCGTCATTTTACTGTTACTATCTGTATTTGTGCATTTTGAAACTGAAAACGGTATAACCTGTTTGATACGTACGCAATCACACCAAAAGTTATAAGATCCTTCATATATTTTTTAACATATAGTTATCGTATTGAGTTTCCGCTTAGTTTTGAAATGCACTCTGTAAACAGATGATGAAGTGTGACGGGGGACATACTTTAAACATTATTATGTAGTTATACACGTATTTGTATAATACAGTTTAAAAGGGAGGTTGTTCAACAATTCCTCAAATTGCGTATCGTACTGTTACAGTTAAATTCGAAGTACAGTTACATTGTACAATGTATAAATTTTAAATAGAACAGTATGTATACAGACACGCACACACACTCACACGTACACATGCATAAAAGATTTGCATCATGCATACACAACCGGATGTATGCATATGTGGATATATATGTATAAAAGTTATTATGATAATGTGTAATAGTAATAACATACAATATTATAGTCGTGCGTTACGTTAGCTGATAATTGCGAGAATAAAGGAAAGTAATTCATATAGTGCCATCATAACTGACTAATTAAGGGAATACCGATTTTATGTTTTAAGTAGTATCATAGGAGAGTATATTTGAGGAAGAAAGAAAAAAAATACTTACAATGTTGAAGACAAAGACTCGGTTTATGTTTGTAATAATAATTATAATGTTTGCCAAGTTTGTTACATAAGTACGAAGCCATTGAGAAATTTTATGTGCTAAATCTTAAAGACATATTTTATCCTCTTATGCACATTCAATGCCACACGCAATATAATACTTGAGTACATAAACACAAACGGTTTGTGCTCATGGAGACGACATAAATACGCTGCGGACACGGAATTACAAAACTCCTTTGTTTGTATGTTATATCTTTGGTGCTCGACATTACCCAGTTATTGTTATACGTTATTATTACTGATCTGTATATGACCGTGCTACCATATTGCCTATTATTGGTCAGTATAATCATTGTCAGAGTTAGTGATAAATAATGATTATTTGATAACGCTCTGTGTACATCACACACATACATACAACATTGTAAACACATACACATTGTGGTTATATTTCAGTGTATCAGCATAATGATATATGATTATTACGATGTTGCCCATAGAATACATTTTACTTGGTTTTTACATTTGGCAGTATTTTATTTTGGTATTATTCCATCCACCTGTTGTATCTTTTTCAACTTGTTGCGACTTGTACGTGTAGTGAGTTCTCCCATTTTGTATTATTATAATATTATTTGTGCTATTTCAATCAGAAATATGAAATTGTTTTGTGAATTCATTGCTTGCATGCTTTTACTGTGTAATACTTTGTGATGATTT